AGTGAGTTTTTGAGTGGCAGTGCTTAAAAATATCAGGCCCTATATTAAGTCCACATACTGACTTTGATGATGTTTAAACCAGATGGCTTTCTAAAATGACTGTATAGGAAGGAATTGTTATTAGAAATGAGAAAGTTCAAGATTTACTAATATGATGTATTTCCAAGGAAATGTAGAGCGAGATTTGATTTTACCCTAAAATTGATTGGATTGTGAAAAGTGAAGCGAATTTGGTAGATGGAGCGCTATAGGATGCATTAGTCGGGTTCTGGAAGTAAAAATCACATTCATTTTCTCCATAGAGGAACTTGATTTGAATGATAACTTATAATTGTTAAAGACAGACCTACTGTGAATTATGAGGTTGTTAATGGTATGCTTTTCATGAAGCCATCAAAAACGTATTTTTTTAAATAATCATGTTAAACAGCGGAATTCCTGGTGAAAAACTACATTATCCATGATTCTGCACATAAATCTCCACCAATCAGAGAATCGCGGCAAGCAAATTGCACCAAAAGAATTCTGCCCACTTCCGGGAAGCACCACAAATGATAGAGTCCGTTTCCCTATGCTCTCAAACTATTTATATACTAAATACATATTCATATTATGCAATAAACATAAAATATACTTTTCAATACAATCTTTAAATCAATAGTTATAGTTCTTCTTTTTTTTTAAATTCAAGGATTTCATTCGTAATGCTTCTTGGGTATTTGTTCCTTCATTAAACCTAAGTGCAGTCTTTCTGTATCTTTGTCTTTTTATCCAATTTTACACTTTTTTTTTTTTTTAGCTTAAAATCCAAAATTGTATCATTGTGATTTACTGTGTAGCTCGTTGGTTTGGTTTATGGCTTTACTTTTTTAAATCTCCATGGGAATAATATGCACTAGAATAACACCAGCATAACACAGAAAACCAAGAACATGCAATAAGAAAGTAAATAGGTCGATTCTGGATAATGGTGTCTTTAATATAGACTTATAAGGTAAAACAAAGTGCATTATGCAAGTTTCAAAAAAACAAAAATATTATTTTTCTGGAGAATCATGCAAACCTCCAGCAGCCTATGAAAGTGCCTCAGGCTGAAATAAAGCACTACTGAAATATGCATGAGACAATGGCGAAAGATCAATGATTATGTTTTATTAATTGATCCTGAGGAGCTAAAATGACCATTGCTTTCTCTAATTATATCCGTGTACAGCTAAACTGAAAAATGTACTCTTTTGCCAGTGGCTTAAGCAAAATCAAGCTTGATTAACATGGGGTCACAATGGATCAATGAATGGATGTAAAAAAAAAAAAAAAGCTTTCACTGTTGCAGATGATAAATGCATTTCTACAATGGATGGATTGATGGGTGGATGGATACAAGGATAGATGGATAGACAGATACTTTTTCATACAGTGTCAGCTGTATACAAGCCCCTGGGCAGGGTGCTTACATTTTAATGGATCTTTTTTCCTTGTCTTTAAGAGTTAATCTTAACCGCGCATTGTAAGTTCTCAAAAGCTCAAAAAGCTCACAGTTTTGCACGATATCTGTGTGGGAGTGGTATGTGGCCAGAATTCTTACCGAAGACTTAATTTGTTTAGAGCTTTTTGTTAAACAGCTGCTATACTACAACTTTTCATCACTCACCTACAGCCTCGCCGACAACACTGCTTTACAAAAGTTTTACAAAAGAGTGATGATGGCAGTGGGTCAAGTTGTCCTTAAGTAGAATACTGCTTCTATACTATTGCTGGAATGATGAATCCAGCAGAGAAGACTAGCATCAGTGGCATTTGGTGATCTTTTCATCTGTAGCCGTCCGTGCAAATGATGCAGCTAAATTTGCACTTATACAGTATGTTACTTACTGTATAGTACGATCAAGAAATCAGAATCTATAATTGATGATTAACAAGATGATTTGGAGGTGGCAGGCCAGTTAATTGGTCCCTGTGGCACAGGGTCAAAATCAGTGACATAGACGTTAATCAGGGGTTTTAATCAGAGCTGTCCAGGCTGATTGCTCCAGCCTTTGGTGCAGTTCAACTACCCATACTCCACTATATAAAACCCAAAACCTCTTACTTTCAGAGCCATTCAGAACTATGTAGGCCATAAAAAGCCCTTAAGAAAGTAAATAGGTCGATTCTGGATAATGGTGTCTTTAATATAGACTTATAAGGTAAAACAAAGTGCATTATGCAAGTTTCAAAAAAACAAAAATATTATTTTTCTGGAGAATCATGCAAACCTCCAGCAGCCTATGAAAGTGCCTCAGGCTGAAATAAAGCACTACTGAAATATGCATGAGACAATGGCGAAAGATCAATGATTATGTTTTATTAATTGATCCTGAGGAGCTAAAATGACCATTGCTTTCTCTAATTATATCCGTGTACAGCTAAACTGAAAAATGTACTCTTTTGCCAGTGGCTTAAGCAAAATCAAGCTTGATTAACATGGGGTCACAATGGATCAATGAATGGATGTAAAAAAAAAAAAAAAGCTTTCACTGTTGCAGATGATAAATGCATTTCTACAATGGATGGATGGATGGGTGGATGGATACAAGGATAGATGGATAGACAGATACTTTTTCATACAGTGTCAGCTGTATACAAGCCCCTGGGCAGGGTGCTTACATTTTAATGGATCTTTTTTCCTTGTCTTTAAGAGTTAATCTTAACCGCGCATTGTAAGTTCTCAAAAGCTCAAAAAGCTCACAGTTTTGCACGATATCTGTGTGGGAGTGGTATGTGGCCAGAATTCTTACCGAAGACTTAATTTGTTTAGAGCTTTTTGTTAAACAGCTGCTATACTACAACTTTTCATCACTCACCTACAGCCTCGCCGACAACACTGCTTTACAAAAGTTTTACAAAAGAGTGATGATGGCAGTGGGTCAAGTTGTCCTTAAGTAGAATACTGCTTCTATACTATTGCTGGAATGATGAATCCAGCAGAGAAGACTAGCATCAGTGGCATTTGGTGATCTTTTCATCTGTAGCCGTCCGTGCAAATGATGCAGCTAAATTTGCACTTATACAGTATGTTACTTACTGTATAGTACGATCAAGAAATCAGAATCTATAATTGATGATTAACAAGATGATTTGGAGGTGGCAGGCCAGTTAATTGGTCCCTGTGGCACAGGGTCAAAATCAGTGACATAGACGTTAATCAGGGGTTTTAATCAGAGCTGTCCAGGCTGATTGCTCCAGCCTTTGGTGCAGTTCAACTACCCATACTCCACTATATAAAACCCAAAACCTCTTACTTTCAGAGCCATTCAGAACTATGTAGGCCATAAAAAGCCCTTTAAAAGCACAAGATGAAAACTGAGCTTTTCACATTTGAAATAATAATAATGCAATACTGGGTCATCTTGTTCTATGTTTGTTCATACTTTGCCCTGGGTTAGGATTCATCTGTATTTATTTGGCATTTGAAGTGTGGTTTAACTCTGCTCTCTTATAAATGCTTTACTACCCCCTAAAATGTTGCTTAACCCTGGGTTTAAAAAGTCATTTAGTTAAGCATAGTGTGAAGCCTGCATGAAAATTTAAAGGAAGAGTTCACCCAAAAATGGAAATCTGCTGAAAATGTACTCTGATTATTGTGATGTTTTTATCAGCTGTTTTGGACTCTCATTCTGTCAGCACCCATTCACTGCAGAGCACCCATTGGTGACCAAGTAATGCTAAATTTCTCCAAATCTATTCAGATGAAGAATCAAAGTCATCCACATCTTTGATCTTTTCATTGTTTTATTTGTTTATTTATTTAAAAAAAAAAATTGTGGTGGGGGGGTTGGCTATTCCTTTAAACAGATTCCTACAAAGAGCTCAGTCACTGATTAGATTTGTCTCAACATAAAATACTGACATACTCTCAACAAGTGATGAATCATTATTGGTTGTACACCATGAACATGGGCAATGCCTGTATGCAAATACAGCCTTGAATCGGATTCCAACATGCCTTCCAACGTATTTTTATTGCTCTGCACTTCCGGACAGTGTCAACAATCACAGTTTCTATAATTGCCATCTATGTCACATCTTCTAAGTCACTGTGTGCACAATTGGAGCATATTATGGGGAGTACTGCCTGTGAGAAAGGTGTTTTTGGATATGATTGAGAGAACTGGCATTGAATAAGGTGTTTTACATTCTTAAAAATAGAGGTTCCTCAAACGGATTTTCGTAGCAAAGCCATAGAAGAACTATACTGGGTTTCTCAAACCTTTCAGTGAACAGGTTTCTTGAGAGTTCTTGTAAAGAACTACACTTTCCAGTGGAAAGGTTCCAAATATGTTAAAGGTTCATAGAACCACGGATGGAAATAAAGAACATATATGTTTAAGAGTGTAGGTATTATGGAAATTAGGCTATTACTTGTGAATAAGGTGTTTAGGGGTTTTAAGAGTATTGCCTGTGGGTGAGATGTTGCGTAAGGTAAAAAAAAAAAAAGAAAAGTGAATTATTCTTTACTTCGCTGGTATATTTTTTCTTTTACTGCTCATCTAACTACAATGTGGGTCCATATATAATCTCAGTGCTATTTCGTAATATTGTATCTGGTCAAGGCTGTGGCACACGTGTAGGCTAATTTGTCTCTTAATCCATCGCAGAGACGGATTTCGAGCACCGAGCAACAAGTGTCCTATTTAATTTCTGTCACACGTTTTAACATTATTATAAACTCGCTAGATTGGAGCAATATTAATGTCGACAACCTATCAGTCACACAATAGCTTATGTCATAAGCAGAACCCATTTTATCTACGTTTGGGTGACCTCTCAGTGCGATGTGCGTTTTGAACAAGAGTTGATTAAAATAATGATTAAAAAACTTTTTTTTTAAACGGTCAGTTAAGTCATTTAAGAACCTGACTCTAGGCAGCATATTTCATTTATAAATAATCTGCAGCAATTTCTCACTGTCCAGTTAGTATTCCTCCCATGCGCGCATTAAAAGGCAAAATAAGGCTTACCCGGTATGGCGAGGTTGGTAAGAGGAATACTGTGCAAGGTGTCCGGTAAACTTGACATCCAGTCCGCATAACGGAGGTCGCTCTTCCCCTGAGATGATGCCATGCCGTCGGTTCTCTGTTCGGTGTCCGTGCTTCGCTCTGAGTGCTCTAGTATTCAGCGCCCGGGCTCGCGTGAGTTCACAGCGCGAGCATCACCACACCCCCGAGACGGCGCGCGCCGCTCCTACATCACAATTTCCCCAGCCTTCTGGATTTAAAGAGCGTCTTTACAAACATATAAATTGCATGTAAGATGTCTAAATTATTCCCTCCCACGTGTTTGCTGGGTGTGGGCGCAATTAGATAGACTTAAGCGCTCGCAACGCGCGCGGATTTAATTAATTCATTTGATGTTATTGAACAATTACGGTTTGTGCAGAGCAACAGGGCGGACGATCCGTGCATCATACACATTCACCCTTTCACGTTGGATATTAACACATCCGCTGTATATGTTTGTAAGTCTGAATTGGTGTTAAGAACAAACGGTTGTGCTGCAACAAGTGTAAACTGATGCATCACAAATGACAAAACAACAGGCTTAAATTACAGAGCTTCCATAAACATTCTCAAAGAATCTGATCAAACTATGCAAATATCCAATTAAAAAGAGATCTTAGTCAGAATGACTGTCTCGGCCACCGTTCACTTTCATTAGGCTATAAGAAAAGATGCTGTGAAAGGAAACAGTGACTGTACATCTCTTAACATTCTGCACATCTTTTGTGTTCCACTGAGAAAATTAAGTCATACAGCTTGAATAATATGAGGGTTTAACTAGCTGCAATTAATAAATATAGAAAACACAAGACAGGTTTTCACTTGGGTCATGAATAGGCATTTATTGCTTTGTACAAATAATATGTACACACTGTAGATAGAACAATTAAAACCTCAGACCTGAGCTGAATTAGATGGGCAAATGGAAAATCTACATATGAAACGTTGACTGATTGTTCTTTTACGATACTTCATGTTTAACCTATTGACAATATTTTAACAAATTATTTGCATTTAAATAAACTGATATTGACAAGCTAAATCAACCATTCAGGCTACTGCACATTCATAGAAATTACTTATACCGATACTGTGATGGTTTGATGACCTTATTGAATATTTGTTGTTTTTAACATGAAATTTCCTCACAAATCTTCAGTTGAAGCCCTAAAAGCATTTGCGTGGGGGATTTAACAAGTCTGTGGTTTCCATCAGCTGTCCAAACAGCCTTAAGCGGGTTTTTTCTAAAACAGTTAAATTTGCTGCATTGGTTTCAAGTTAGGAGAGACCTGTTTGGAAAAAACAAACAAAAAAAAAACAGGAAAATAAGCAGAAGAGTCAAAATTATCACCTTGTATTCTGGCTAATGCTTTTAGTTTTCATTCAAGCTAGTATTAGAGGGCTTTACGTGTTGTTAAATGTCATCATTGGCTATGAAAACTATGGTGCAAAGTGTTCAGTATTATTAACTGTTTCTGTAATTCATCAAGTATGTCATTCACCTCAAAGTCAGTCCCTGTGCATTTCTTAATGTCATCTGGTGTCAGACCCTCCCAAACCTCAATCAGTGTTAAACCTTTGTCCTTGTCCACATCGAATACTGCCTGGAGAAGAAAGGAAAACAATGGGACCATGACAGAAGTGCCATCAAATGTGCAGCCATGTGTAAGTGAACTCTTCTGACCCTGAGGATGTGGTCAGATGGGTAGAGAAAGGAAATGTGGTGAAAAAAAGCACAGAAAAAGGCACTTTGTGATGTGATAAAATAAAAACAATGTATCTAAAAAGTCTCAGACCATGTCATGCAGCTCGAGTGCTAAATGGTCGTACCAAAAAAATAAAACAGAGAGAAAACCATCTTCACTCAACAATAAAAAAAAAAATAATAATAATAATAAAAACTGAAATTAAAAAAAATGCAAAATAGACACATTTGCACTAGTGGTCTCGGACTTTTAGACCCTACTGTATATTAAAAATAATTAAATTGAATAATTATATTAAATACTGAATTATATGAATACTGAGCTGAAATGGCTCCTTTTTCATAATAATGCCACTTTAATTTTGGATAACGTACTTTTAAAATCAGCTCCTGATGAAGAATATATCACATGTAAACTACTAGGGCAGTTTTTGGCATTTCTTTATTGTGTTCATTCAGCTTGCAGTGATAAAAATAAATAAATGAAATAAAAAATGTTTATGCGCTCAAACCAGGCGAGCACATCATTAATATAACAATAAACATTTTATAATATTTGTGACGAGTGGAGGCGGGGCCGAGAGCCGTGGGAACGGAGCGAGGCCGGTGGAGTAATTGATAATGAGCGACACCTGCACCACTCACCGGTCTCGAGTCCCACGGAGTCCGAGGGGCGGGGCCGAGAGCGGTGGGAACGGAGCGAGGCCGGTGGAGTAATTGATAATGAGCGACACCTGCACCACTCACCGGTCTCGAGTCCCACGGAGGAGCTCCGGAAGGATAAAAGGAGGAGTTACGACAATGAAAGACGAGGGATGACCAGGCCTGGACTTTATTTTTGTTTTGGTTCTGTTTGTGCGCGACAGTCGTCCGCGAGGGGCTGTCGTGCTATTTTGTGTTTATTTTATTATTAAAGTTTTCTTTAAGTGTTCGCCGGTTCCCGCCTCCTTCTTCCCGTAACTACGAACGTTGTTACAATATTATTGTAATAATATTGCAATACATAATACACAATGTTGTTTATAGAGACATAGAAACATTTGTTAGTCAAGACACGTACATGATTTGGTTCACAATGACCTGCAAGAGGTCAAGTGCATGCATTGTGCATGCTAAAGGCCATTACTAAACCAAATCATGTATGTTTGCATGAAACCAGCAGTCTGTTGTTAATGTTCAATGTGACCCAGATCTAACGTTGCTGTAATCTCATTTCACAAAATACCTGTGGAGCACAACCTGCCAAGGGCAGCATGCTTGCTGTCACGTTGCCTTGAGCCTGCTGTCTCTGTATCCTCTCTTCCACCTGAATGAGAGTCTCTAATTGCTGGAGGATTTGCTTGGGTGTGTAACAATGTAGGCGATAGGATTAATCTACCTGCCAGAGTCCCAACCGTAAACTCTGACAGTCTAAAAAAAATTTCTCTCCTCAGAGATATTGTACTGCATGCTTGTTTATTTTTTTCAACAATCAGGGGAAAGCGAATTGAACAGTCAAACACTGCAAGACGGATGGCGTAATCACATCACAGCTTGCCAGCAATATTTATATAAAAACTTCCATCGCTGGAGATATGCGTGCTGCTGAGATGACAAGTGGCATATTGGCTCAGAAAGCCATTCTTGGATTCATATGCATTCTAGGAAGCAAGGATGTTTGCCCTGTATTGGTTCTATTTCTATGACGACACCTCATAATGAAAGCATCTTATAATAAAAATAAGTCCATGAACTAACATATGTACCACATACATTAAAAGGGATCATGAACTGCCTTTGTTTATTATTTTGTACTGTTCTCTGAGGTCCACTTATAATGTTATCAAGATTTTTACATTTAAAAAAAACAAAAACAAATGTAGAAATAATAGGTTATTGTCTGTCCCATTTTGACCCCCTCATCGGAACGCTCTGTTTGAATAGGCGTGGCTGATTGTAGACTCGGAAGTAAACGCCCACTGATAAGATTGGCTGTTTTTCACGCATCTATACTCAGTGCATATCAAATGGTCTGTAATAACAGACAAAGCAATAGTGACCACATAATAAAAGCAGTTACTCACACTTGTGTGGTGCGACATTACTGTCGGATCCAATAAAGTCGGCACAGCATCGTCTTTTAGTTTCAGTCTTTCTGAAAATCCTGTGTCGAATTGTGCCTTGTTTGTAAAGGAATCCGCTGTAAAATGAAGTGAACAAAGGACCAAGTTCTTACTGACGCAGCACTGTACAGCGTCTTGTTGTCTTCAGAGCATCTTTATTGTTTGGTTTCTGTGTAGAGCAACGTTTGCCTCTCGTTATTTACACTACATGTGCGAATCAGTGGGTGGGGCTAAACAGGCAGTGATGTAGAAGCAGGCGTTGATCTTCTTCTGTGGAGGCGGGGTTTAGCCACGCTATTACGTCATAAAGTGGCACATTCCACAACCTGTCATTTTGGCAGACTGGCTTCAATATAAGCAGTTTTTTTTAGACTAACGAGAAAGTTTTGAGTTCTGAAACTTACAGGATGCTTTTATAGTACAATGACCACTTATATGTCAAAAGATAAAGGGAATTTTGATTTCTCAGTTCATGACCCCTTCACTTTCAAGTTTCATTCACTGGCTCTAACAGTTGCTCCTTATAAATATTTTTGTTAGAGGTTCACATAAGCAGCTTTAACCTCAGTTTTTTTTTAATGTCTTTATGCTGTCTTTATGTTTGGTGTAAGTGATGTGTGACAAAAAATAATACTAGTAATTTCAAAATTAACTTCTTATTTTCCTTTCAAATTCTTTTAAATGCTCACGTTACCTAATTAAAACATTTGTAGGAAGATATTACTGAAACTTTGGTAAAACTTTACATTAAGGTTCAGTTAGTTAACATTACTTAACATTACTTAAAACATTAGGAATCACAAACTAACAATGAAAAATACTTTTACACCATTTATTAATCTTGGTTAATGATAATTTCTACATATATTAAAACATTTTTAGTATTTCAAGTCGTTGTATTATAAACAAAACATGCATTATTAACAGATATGATATCACAGTGCAGAAAAATATACATTATTGTTCAAAAGTCAGTTTTTTTGTAAAGAAATTAAAACTTTTATTCAGCAAGGACACATTAAATTTATTAAAACACTTCTAATGTTAAAAAGATTTCTATTTCAAATAAATGCTGTTCTTTTAAACCTTCCATTCATCAAAAAATCCTTGAAAAAAATATGCTAAACATGTTTCTTGAGCTATTCAAATGGCCTTGGGGTCTTGAAGAACATGAGGGTTAAATAGCCGAAAGGCTCTTCTTACAAGCGAAGCTAAAGCTCAGCTTGTTAGGCTGACAGACAGGGGTTGTGTTAAACAGCAGGGTAGCATGACAAACACAGGCTGAACAGAAGGTGGTGGCAATGTAGCTGGAGAGGTCTAACCTTTCCAATGTTGACAGAATCCTTTCAACGGAAACCACGGTGTGTAATTGTTACAAAAGCAAACACGGGCAAAGCATACAACGAGGAAGTGGAGAGAAAGAGAAGACTAAAAGGTAAGGAGAGGAGGAAGACTGCTGTT